AAGGGATATAATGTATAGGCCTGGTGGGTTCAGGGTCTTTTCATCTTACATCTGCCTGCATGCAGTTTGGAGGTGCAAGATACCTGAGCGTGTAATGTTAATTTTACCTGTGATCCTTTGAATAAATCAGCACTGTTTTGAAGTTACTTGGACTGTCTCATCTCTTAGAGTTAGCAATGGTAACAAGAACTGAAGACCAACATCGCTTTTCCAGAAAGTGATTACAACTAATATTTTAATACTGAGAAGCATACGTGGCCTCACAATACCTTTATTTCACTATTGTGGGTTATATTTTAGTGTTAACAATCCCCAATGTTTGTTCCGGTTTAAGTACCTGTAACAAATAAAATGCACTATTATACTAGGTTATATAGCCTACAACAATAATGTTAGTCTTATTTTCAAATATAATGGAGTGCACACTAGCACATTTCAGTGCCTTTGTAGAAGTTGTGTAGTCGAGGCTTGATACACTTCACAAGCCCCAGTGCCATAGCTCAGGCTAGAGCACCATTCTAGAAGAGGATGCACTGAAAGCAGCACAGTAAGACCTAGAATCATAGCACTTGTTGATTTACCCAGCAAATGAATGCGCTTTGCACAATAGCTTAGACTTGCACAGTTTTGAGAAGAACCCAGCAGTTTGATCCCCGGCCGCTCCAGTGTACATGTCGACGTGTCCATGGGCAAGACACTGAGCCCCAAGTTGCCCCTGGTGATATCGCCAATATGTGAATGCGTTAATGGTGTAAAGTGTGCTTCCTTGCATAGCAAAGCACTGTGTAAAACCATTTACCACTGTTGCACTCACTCTGCATGTAACATAAGAGCTTGCTTGTGTTTTATCTGAAGCCTGACAGGTCAGATCTTCTTTCCTGCGCTGTGTAGATTGTTGTAGTTCATTTTCCGAGCATACTGTTGCTGTAAACATTTCTCTCTTTGCTTTTGCCACAGGATGCCATTTGCACCCTCAACACCCTACAGACCAATGCCAGTGCTCTGGAGCAGGTTAGAAGAGAGCGCGGCCACCCTCAGCAGCAGCTCCAGGCCATGAGAGGCTTTTTGGAGCGAGCCGGTGTCACAGTGAGTCAGTTCACAGGGCACGTTTGTCACATTAGTGTGATTTCTTGAAGGATTACAAAGAGGGCTATTGACTGACAGGATGGTAATTTATTTTCTTTAGTCTTATCTGACACCTGTGTTTCAAAGGTGGAGGAACTAGATCGTCTCAATATCATTCATGTGACAGGAACAAAAGGCAAGGTGAGCTGACCAGACGCATGCTTGTGTACGTGCTTGTCAGTAACTTTTTGACCATATAAATTGAACAAATGTGTGATTTACTGTAAAACTGGTGGTTTTTGTTTATACTGTTGGAGTCATAGAAAGTTTTTATGAGTCAAAACATGTTCTAGTTTTGTTTTAAGTTGTTTAACCTTTTTTGTTTACATTTAGAGCAAAGATAACTGGCCCTTTTCCACACTGAGCTGTAAGCTCCCATCATACACCGACAGAAGGGCATGCAGACATGATTCAAACAAGCGTTCATTCACTGACAAAGGAACAAATTACTGTAACAGCTGTTGGAGTGTGGTATCTAAGTGTGTTTGTCTTTCAGGGGTCAACATGTGCCTTCACTGAGCAGATTTTGAGAAGTTATGGGTTCCGCACAGGATTTTACAGGTAAAACTGCTGAATGTCTTTACACTGTTTGATGGAGAGGGATGAGCGCTCCAAATCCAAAACCTGAGTTTGGAGACACAGTTGCTAAATGAGACTATAAAACCTTTAAACCACTGCAGTTAGTTACTGTCCCTCAAGGCTTTAGATTCAGCTGCTGATGAACGAGCAAAGATAGCTGGCCCTTTTCCACACTGAGCTGTAAGCTCCCATCATACACCGACAGAAGGGCATGCAGACATGATTCAAACAAGCGTTCATTCACTGACAAAGGAACAAATTACTGTAACAGCTGTTGGAGTGTGGTATCTAAGTGTGTTTGTCTTTCAGGGGTCAACATGTGCCTTCACTGAGCAGATTTTGAGAAGTTATGGGTTCCGCACAGGATTTTACAGGTAAAACTGCTGAATGTCTTTACACTGTTTGATGGAGAGGGATGAGCGCTCCAAATCCAAAACCTGAGTTTGGAGACACAGTTGCTGAATGAGACTATAAAACCTTTAAACCGCTGCAGTTAGTTACTGTCCCTCAAGGCTTTAGATTCAGCTGCTGATGAACAAGCTCAGACTCTTTTTCATCTTAATCTAATGACCTGTAAATTAAGATGTAATCATCATCTGCACTCCATTTTGATGAGGCAGTGACAAGCACAGGAAAACAAGTAAATGATAACATATGGGGAATATATAAAAAAGAAAAACTAGTATCACTGTAATGTAGCCTATTGCTCTTAGTTGTATTACCATTATTATTAGTTTTGTCATAGTTTTGCCTCAGTAATCAAATGACAGTCTTTAAATTGTTTGGTATTCTCCACATTTAGTTTCTTCTGTGCAACATTACAGCACTTCTCAGTCTTTTCTTTGACCTGCAAGTAAATGTATAAATTACTAATTAAAAGAGGAAGATGACATGGTTAACCTTTATATTTATGCACTTCAGCATGGTAATTATTTGTAAACTGATACGACAGCCAACGAGAAGTGACTAAACCCACTTATTTTTCCTTTTTGGTTGCAGCTCCCCACACCTGGTACAAGTCAGAGAGAGGATTCGAATCAACGGACAGCCGATCAGAAAAGAGCTTTTCACTAAATATTTCTGGCAGGTTTATGGACGGCTAGATGAAACTAAGGTAGGTTATGTAGCAGGGCTGAGGTGTATCTCCTTAAAGCACAGCCCCGTGTCAGGGGCTGGCGACTCATTCACTTCATGTCACTTAGTGAAATGATTCAATGAATTAACCTTTAATCATAATAACAGCAGGCATTCCAAGCGATGATTTTTGAGGCACATCAGCCTAATTGGTCTGCCTTATTGTATTCTCAGCCTCAACAGTGATTTATCAGTGTCACAGTTTGTAATTGAGTCCAGTGCACAATGGGACCCCTCACATGAAGATGACCATGACCCTCATGCAACTGTTCTTTGGTCGAGTTACTAGCATTCATTGTGCTGTGTGACTCTTTAAATGTCAGACCAATTGGAGACTATGTCAAAGAACCTTGATAAGTCACTCTATGCACTGTGACATGAAATAGGACATTTGAGAAAACGGTTCACTCTGAAAACTAGTCGTTTTGTTTTTCTCTTTGACTTCCTCAGGACGCCCATAGAGGGACGATGCCCGCATACTTCCGTTTCCTCACCATCTTGGCCTTCCATGTGTTTCTTCAGGAAAAAGTATGCTCAGCAGCTTGTGCTCCCCTTTAACAGCAGCCAGCAAATGTTTCCTCTGCCAGGCAAAATAGCACTGAAGGAAGATGTACATAAGCCTGTTGTGTGATGGGATTGGAAGTATGACATAGGAGTATGACTCAGTGTGTCCATCCATGCATGGTTGGGTATACATAACTGAAGCTCTGGACTCACCATTTTGCACGTATGTCCCATGGATTTGAAGATGAATTGTGAGATATAGAATGTTTTTCTTTTTTAAAATATTTTTCTTGACCCATTTTCAACGCTTATGTACACTTATAGATTGTCAAATTGTAATGTTTCATCCTCTGAGAGGCATGGGTGCCCTCAAAATTTCATGGCAACCTGGCCTGTAGTTGTTGAGATATCTGGCTTTTGGGGGGGGGGGGGGGGGGGGAGCGCCCCCCGAC